TTCATTTACTTTCTATACAATGAAGGCGTTGGTCTAGGTGGTCTCTAAGTTCCCTCCAAAAGGAATCTTTAACAGTTGCACACCAATGGCGGGGACAGGAACCATTTGTTTTTGCATGTCTCTGACCCTCCCTCCGCCCCCACGGGCATGTGGCTGTTTAGGGGAAGGCAGGCATGATAGCTCTAAGGAGAAAGGGGGGAAGGTAAGAACCCTAACAGAAGCAGTCAGGGTTTGTGCCTCCAAAGTCTGTCCTTAGAGACACAGTCAGAGGCAACACCAGGGCTCTAGAGGCCTGAGTGCCTACGGGTAGATGTGTCAGTCCTCAAGTTTCAGATGAATTTCAAGACATAGGCAAAGGAGGCTATGAGTCTGAAGTCATTGGGAATAATGAGGCCAGGGAGAGGCTGACCGTGGGGAAAAAAGAGGCATCAGTGTCCAGGGTATTTATCTCAGAGGGACAAGGATGTGGGAAGGGGAAGCAGTGAGCACAGCCTTGGTGCTTCTCTCCTCCCTCGTGTCCAGGGGGTCTTCACAGACTGCTGAATGGACATGGAGTCAGCACTCATAGTCATGGGATTAGACGCTGCTCATTGTGGTCAGGGATGAGAGCGAGTCATGGAACCTCACTCAGCTTTGATGCCTCATTTGGAAAACAAAGTTCACAATACCCATTTTCATTAAATGGGGAATGGCTGTGTTCTCTCCTTCTCCCTCTCACCACCACACTCCTAGGCTCTCTGGTGCCAAAGAGTGTAGGATCGGTTCCCACACAGACCTGAGTTTCAAACCTACCTCTGTCTTGCCTGGTGTAACCTTGGATAAGTTGCCGAGCTGCTCTGAGCCTGTTTCCTTATTGTAAAATTAGGATAATAATACCTTCTGAGTTATGGTGGGCTTAAATTATATGTATAATAATAGTTGGTACAAGGTAAAAACTAAAAACCATGGTATCTGCTCTCGTAACTTATCATTATTATCATTTTATCATCCTGTTTGTTATGAACACTTGCTTTGGGGAGAGAAAAAGTACATGAAACACATTCATATGCAAATGTAAACAACTGAGTAAGCGTCACCACTTGTTTTCTTTATTAGAGAATTCGCTAAAATTCAAGATCCTAAAGCCAGTTAGGTCCTAACGCCAGTTAAATTCATTGCTCTTTCAGAGGGGACAGGCAGCGTGGGGTGCTGTCCCTGGTGCTGGATGGCAGTGAGCGAGGGATGAGCTAACTGTAACTACAGGCACCATCTGGGGCAGCCAGCCTGTCTCAGGTCAGGTTTCCCCAAGCAGACCCAGTGGTGAGATGCACGTGGGAACAGTATATGAGGGGCGTGCGGGGCAAGGAAGGAGAGAGGTCGGCGAGGCTGTGCTCTGAGACAGCTCACAGAGGTGGCCCAGCCTCTGTGCAAGTTGCTCCAGAGCCTGTGTGGAGCCTCAGAGTTATTCTGACCCCTGGCAAAGGAAATGAGGGTCCAGTTGGTCTTTGATGAAAGGGTAGAGTGGGGAACAGTTAGGGGTCATCTGTTTCCAGGTCTTTGTGGGTGGGGGTGTGGGCTCAGTAGCTCAAGGGAAGCAAGGGAAGATCCCCCCTGCCCTCATCCAAAAGCAGCTGTCAGGTACAGGTACTGACTATTGGAAGCTGCTAGACCCTGAAGCGGGGAGGGGGCTCACAACAGTAGTGGCAAGGGGGCCTAGGTCGGGCACCTCATTGTTTACTATGGCAGGTCAAGCGAGGGTCCTAGGAGACTGCAGGGCTGTTAATTTCCTCTTTGCTGCCCAGTGGAGTGTGTTTGATCGGCAGAGATCACGTGCAGCAGTGTTTCTCATCTCTCTGAGGGCTTCTCCCTAACGTTTGTTGAAAGAGTGAAAGTGCCATCCTCCTCCCTGCACCAGGGCTGAGACGAGGCCCTTGGACTCGGTCACCAGCAGTTGCTGGAGGCTGGTTTTAGGGAGCCATGGGGGAACAGGGCCTTCTCTGAGGGATTGGAGAGAGCGTGCTAGCGAGATGGTGGCCAGAGGCTGCTCTTGAAGAAGTATGCTGGTGGAAGAAGTAAAGGCTTGGGCAGGTGCGAGGCGGAGTGGAAGGGGCCAGAAGATGGAGAGACCACCCAGAGAGGACAATGGGCAGGATGTCATGGTGAGGGTGGGTGGAGGTGGGGTGGTCAGGAAAAAATGATGGGTCTGCCTCAGCCAGGAGGAGGGGAGGCTCGAGGGACAGGTGGAGAGGTCTGAGCATAGTTAACATTCAGAAGTGACAAAGAGCTAAACCCGTGGTTCTCAACCTATGGGCTGCGACCCCTCTGTAACAATAAAAATACATCGCAGCATTAGGAAGGTTGAGAACCACTGAGCTAAACAAAAGGGAGCACATCGTTCAGGCAGGTGGGGTGGATAGGTTATGGGGGGGAGTTGGGAAGGGCATCTTGGGGACTATGAGAGTCAGCCAGAGATGACCAGTGGAAGGTTAGGGTAGAGGTTAGATGGTAGGCTTTGTTGTTGAGCTTGATCCAGTCATGTCCCCAGATTGGGGATGGTGGCACATGAAGGGAAAAATCCCCTGAAGTTACCAGTAAGACAACTGGGCAGCCCTCTCTGCAGGGGCTGGGCTCCTTTTGTTTAGCACCTCCGAGCTGCACTGTGGTGAACATTCTGATTGTCCGAGGTCTTTGTACCTGGATTGTCAGTTTGCAAAGCCAGGTTCACCTGTGTAGCGGGGCTAAACAAAAGGGAACACATCTTCCAGGCAGGTGGAGTGGATGGGTTGTAGGGTGGGCTCAAACAGGGGCCTGGATAGGAAGCGCTTTGAGGGCTGCCGAGTGCCAGCAGGTGTGAAGCACGGCTCTGGGGGCCGAGTTCTTTGTCAGGCTTTACTCCTCCCTCTTCCGGGCGAAACTGTGTCAGACCCTGGTGGGTGGAGATGGAATGGGGTTGGGGCTGCAGAGCAGGGCTTAGGGGGGAGGTGAAAAGGCTGGGCAGGTGTCTGCAGCCTGCCTGCCAGGAGCCCTGTCATGGGTCTGTGTCCCCCAGCAGGGAGGGGTGTTTGTCCCCATACACATGACTATGTGTGGGGGTGCACATGCGCACACACATGCATAGAGGGACATCTCCATGTACGTGAGTCTGTGTTCCTAAATGTGCATGCCAGTGTTTCCATGTCTTTCTGTGTCTGTACCTGCTATACACAGAGAGACACAGAAGCTGTAGGGACAGGGAGGCCGCAAATGCCAGTTAGAGAAAGAACAAATGAGTGGAAGCAGAGCTAGCGCACGTGCCCGCACGTGTTCAGAAACACCAAGGCTGCATGTGCGTCTGGCACACACATAGATGGCATGCCTGTTTAGCCTTAGAAACACACAGAATGACAGGGACCTGGAGAAGCCAGGGAACACACCAGCGTCGACACTCAGACACATGTTGGCATACTCTGTCTTTGCATGTCTATTCCTGTACGTGTGTGTTGCTGTGTGTTTTTCTGAGTAGGGGGGGGCATCTGTGTGTCTGAGTACCCCAGACACACGTGGGAGACAACATGAGGGTCCAAGCTCTGAGAAACGCAGTGGGTGTATCTCTACACATCCATGTGTGCACGTGCGAGTGTGACTTGCTTAGAGTCAGGGAAGAAGGAGCTCAGGAGGATGCCATTCGGGGGTGTCCTGGCCTCACTCCAGCTCCTGCTGGGGAGGGCTCCTGGCTCAGCTCTCCTGTCCTCTGACAGAAGCTGCCCCAGCAGGAGCAGGATGTTGGGGCTGCTTTGTCCTGATAGGCCAGCCCTGATGAAGCCCCTCAACTCCAAGCCCACAGTCCCTGGGGACGGGGAAGGGATACGTAAAGTTTACCTTGAATCACTAGGCTGTGGAGCAGGCGCAGAGACCATCCTGGGGCTCCCCACCTTAGTGGCCTTCTGGCATAGACAAGTCCCTAACCTCTCTGTCCCTCTCATCCTTGGCACTGCAGCGGGATAGTCTAGCATCTGCCTCACAGGTGGCAATGAGGATTAAGACTAGTCTCAGGGCAGACCCCATCCAGCAGTTATTAATTGAGCACCACCGCTAGACAATGTGCCTGGCGCTGAGGGTTTCACAGTGAACACGCAGAGTTCCACATCCTGGTGGAGTCTCCCTGCTGCATGGAGGAAGCAGGTCAGTGGGCCAGTGGTGTTTACCACACCAGGGTGGGGAGCAGGAGGAAGGGAACCAGAGCAGACATCAGGGCAGAGAGAGGCTGGGGCAGGAGAGGGCTGCTGTTTCAGAGGAGCTGGGAGTGGCCCAGGAAGGCCTCTGATAAGGTGACAGGAAAAGGCCTGAGCCACTGGTGGGACAGAGGATGTTTTGGGGGAGGGAGTAGCAGGTCATTTAACCCCGTGGTAACCCTTTCATTCTCCTGCTTTCTGGTGGAGGAAAAAGAGGCACAGAGAGGCTGAGTGATTTGCCTGGAGTCTCCCAGCCAGAGAGAAAGAGGTCCAGGATTTGAACTCAGGCGTTTGTTTCAGAGCCAATGGCCTGAATCAGTGGTCTTCAGTCAGGGATGATTTTTGCCCTTAGGGATGTTTGGCAGTGTCTGGAGACATTTTGATTGCCACAGCTGCACTGGGGGAGCTAGCGGCATCTAGCAGACAGAGGCTGAGGATGCTGTCAGACAGGCTGCGGTACACACGCTAGCCCTGCCACGCAGCGTGCCACCCAATGCCAGTCGTGCTGGGAGACCCTGTTAAATCCACATAGAGCACTTGACAGAGAATGTGACACATAGTAGGTGCTCAACAAATAGTAGCTGCAGAGGAGGAGGAGAAATGATTTGGAGAAGGTTGCAGGGGAGGAATGTCCATGTGACTGAATCCACCAATTATCGGAACTCATGTGAGGCTGTCTGTTGGAGGTTGGTGGGCTCGGGTGGAGGCTGCAGCTGGGCCACCGAAGCACTAACTATATGGCTCATCTTTCTATCCCCCTCCCACCTGTGTCTCTCTCTCTCTATCTCCCTTGGCCTCTTTGCCCGGAAGGGGATGGCCGGAGGCTGAAGGGGGGCATCCAGAGGAGCACGGAGACCGGCCTGGCAGTGGAGATGCCCAGCCGGACGCTGCGCCAGGCCAGCCATGAGTCCATCGAGGACAGCATGAACAGCTACGGCTCAGAGGGCAAGTGAGTGTGGGCCCTCACTTGGTCTGGGAGTGGTGGGGGGTGAGCGTGGAGCCCTGGGTGAGCTCAGGCAGTGGGAGTGGCTTAGGTCCCTGGGCAGTGCCCCTCTTTACAAAGAAGGTGGTGAAACCAGCAGAACTGCAAGGGAGAGTGAGCAGAGCACAAGGCTCCGATGCCCGACCGCCTGGATCATCCTGGCTCCACTCCTTTTCTGAAGCTTGACCTTGAGCAGGTCAAGTCTCTGTGCCAGTTTCCTCACCCATAAAGTGGTGATAGTAGCGCCAGTCTCATAAGGGTGTTATGAAAATACAATATTTATAATCCATATAATCCCGGGCTAATTCTTAGACATGGGGCAGTGTTTGGCACATATATGCTACATATGTGTCTCAGTAAAGCAATACAGAAGGGGATAAGAAGGTTTTCAGTATCAATATTCCCTTCTTTTAGTTTCTTAAATCTCAGCTGGCATTTATTTTATTTTATTTTACTTATTTCATTTTTTTATTTGTTTTAAAATTTTATTATTTTATTTTTGAGACAGAGCCTGACTCAGTTGCCCAACCTGCAGTGCCATTGCATCATCCACCTGACCACAGCCTCAGACTCTGGGCCCAAGTGATCCTCCTGCCTCAGCCTCCCAGAGTGCTAGGATTATAGGCGTGAGCCACCATGACCGGCTCCAGCTGGTTTTTACACATATATATTACTGCTTGAGAAAGGTGTTTTCCTGTACCGGAAATTATTAAATAGCAGCACCTAGTGTTGCTCTCACTTGGCGGCATGTCAGAATGACGGGAGAGCATGTTACAAATGCAGATTGCACGGCCTTGCCCCTGAGCTGCTGAATTAGTCTCTGGGAGTGGAGCCCAAGAATCTCATTATTAAAAAGCTCTCTGGGCTCAGCGCCTGTGGCTCAAGTGGCTAACGCACCAGCCACATACACCTAAGGTGGCGGGTTCGAATCAAGCCCGGACCTGCCAAACAACAATGATGGCTGCAACTGAAAAAAAAATAGCCAGGCGTTGTGGCCGGCGCCTGTGGTCCCAGCTACTTGGGAGGCAGAGGCAGGAGACTCGCTTGAGCCCAGGAGTTGGAGGTTGCTGTGAGCTGTGATGCCACGGCACTCTACCCAAGGGGACAGCTTGAGGCTCTGTCTCAAAAAAAAAAAAGCTCTCTGGAAGAAGGATTAATCTAGATGAGGGGTTTCTCCGCTTTATGGACCCCTTTGAGAATTTTGGGAAAGTTTTGGGCTTGCTTTCCCCGAATACACAAACACTCACACATACACACACATTCTAACACATATAAAGTCATTCTCATACACAAAGCCATATAAACACATTCTTCTCATAACTATAGGAGGGAGGTTCCCACATTCCTCTAAAACCATCCATCAATCCCCAGCAAAGAAACTTTTCATCCAAAGTGACTTCCTTATCATACAGATGACTAGGGCACTTAGGTTAACGAGCTTGCCCTGGGTCCCACAGCATGCTACTAGGTCTGGAACCTGGTAGGGTTCCTGTCTCCCTGCTGGGGTTATTCCATAGTGCTATGTCGTTTCATGGTTTCGGCTGTCCTCTGATGTGGGGCAGGGACTGTCATGATCCTCGTGCACATGAGGAGACTGAAACTTGGAAAAGTTAAGTGCCACATAGGTCAGGCCACCAGCCACTAGACACTTGCGGCTACTTAAATGTCAACCAGTTTAAAATAAGATGAAACATTCTGTTCCTCTGTGGCACTAGTTACATTTCAAAGGGTCAATCACAATAGGTGGCTAGCAGCAGCCCTATTAGAAGGCATGGGACATTTCTGTCATCACAGAGTTCTGTTGGACAGCAGTGGCCAAGTGATTTGGTAAGGCTCGGTGTGGTCTCCACCCTGTCTCTCAGTGGGGGCCTCCTCCGGCCAAAAGCCTTCCTCATCCCCAGCCTCTCCTACAAGGGGCACCTCCACCCTTGGGAATGGCTGCTGTTCTACCTACCTCCTTGCAAGACTTTCCAGTGGCTTAGAAGAGGAGGACAGTGGAAGGGAGAAGAGGAAGAGGAAGGAAGCCAATGTCTCCTTGAACTTGAGAAACATGGCAAGGCAGCCAAATCTAGAAGAAGATGTTCTTGGTGTCTGAGGAGCAGTGGGTCCCTGCTGGTAGATGTGAGTCCGAGGGGATCAGGAGGTGTGGGTCCTACTCCTGCCTCTGCCATTGACCCCCTAGGTGGTCTTGAGCACATCTCTTGAGCTTTGAGGAGGCCAGTAAGCATCTTGTTGGCCTCATGAGAAGGTCGGGAGGACCAGATTATAGAGAGGTTGACCAACATAGTTCAGCGAGCAGCAGCAGGGAAGTCACCTGTACTCAGTTTTATAGGAGTGGAGGCAAAAACTTAGAGAGGTCATATGACTTGCAGATGGGCGCATCTGGCGAGGATGTTGTGAGAGAGAAATGAGGGGCTGCCTGCACGTGGCAGGTGCACACTCTTGTTATCATTCACTGCAGTGTGCTTTAAGGGGCCAGAGAGTCCAGTTACGTTACAGACAGGTTCAAAGCCAAGACTCGGGGGTCAGATAATCCTGGTTTGTAACGGTTCATTTCTGCTTCTTAACATTTATGTGGCTTCACCTCTCTGAGCCCAGATTCTTCTTCTCTAGAAAGGTAATAGTACAGACACTCAGAGTTACTGTGGGGATTAAACTCGTTAATATATATCAAAGCACCGTGAACAGTGATTGGCATGCACCATAATTATTAGCTGTTAGTTATGTAGTTGGCTGTTCATGGTTAGTGGTGTTCCAGTGGACACAGTAAACCATCCCCAGTACAATTTTGTCTCTAAAGTACCAAGCACGGAGTAAGCGCTGAATAAATGTAAGCTGTGATGATCATGATTATAATAGGAGGTTTGGGGTAAGTGTTCTGAGCCTCACTGAGGAAGGATCAAGTGGTTTGGAGGGTGCTGGGTCCGGCAGGGAGGATAGTCTTGGCCTCCTGAGAGGGGCTGAGTTTTGGTGAATTCCAGCCAGATACTGCCACCTGCTGAACACCTGGGTGAGGAAGGGACATTGACAAGGGACGGCCTCCTCCTTGTTCTTCAGGTATTTTGGGCACTGGTTGGACCCAGGTGCCAGGCTCTGATAGAGGAAAGGATGTGATTGTCCTCCCCTTTCCCGACCCCCTGGGCTTTTGCCAGCCCAGCTGGGGCTTACAGGGAGCCAGTCTGCCTGAGCAGCCCTGGCAGTGCCAGGCATGTCTGACCGTGTGCTGGGTCGCTGGGCATGTGTATCCTGCAGGCGGGCACAGGAATGCTTCCGTGTAGATGTTCATCTCAGCAAATATGATCGAGCACCTGTAGTGTACCAGGCAGTGAACTGGGCACCTGACTAACAGTCTCAGGAGACCTACAGAAGACTTGTATAGAAAAGTTGGGAAATGCTGAATTTCCAGCCAGGGCTGAGGGATGGGTACAGAGTGCACATGGGTTGGGCCACTGTGTGAGGATGTCCTGAGTTCCACACTGCTGATACCAATAGCCTTTAGCCTTTGCTATTCAAAGTGAGCCATAGTCTGGCAGCATCCCCTGGGAGCTGGTTAGAAATGCATTATCTCAGGCTCCACCCCAGACCCACTGAATCAGAATCTGTATTTTAGTAAGATCTGCGTGGTTTGTATGCACGTAAGGTAGAGAAACCTAGAGAACACTTGCTATGTGCAGTGTGCTGAGTGCTTTCACATATATTGACTCATTCAGTACTCACAACAAGAAATGTAAGCTCAGGGAAGTAACTCACTCACCCAAAGATCACATGGCCAGTAAGTAACAGAGCCGAGATTCAAATCCAGGCATTTGGCGTCTGCTTTTAATGATTACACTCAATTCTTTCTCTGATTTAATACTGCATCTATGAAGATTTCTGGAGCTGGAGGCTTCCAGGATGGTTTGGTGGATTGAGGATGCAGTCAAAGACCCAGAGTCCTCCTGTTTTTCCCCTCCGCAGGCCTCAGCACTTTGCCCAGACATGGTTTCTCCCCTGGGGCTGAGGAAGGGTTTTCTTTCTCTGAGCCTTTTCTGCCTGGTCAAAAATTAGGGTTCTGTGTCTTAAGGATGGAGGGTCAACCAGCTGAGCCACCAGAGCAGGCCCATCTCACCCAGACAAAGGGCAGAGGATTAAGTTCAACACCCCGAGAAAGGACCATGAGAACAGTGCCTCCCCAGACATTCCCCCCACACCCTGCAATCCTGAGACACCCCCCTGTGGACTGTCTGCTTTAGTTTGGGTTTTCCCCAAACCAAAGTGTAAGTGATTCACTTGGGAGATTATTCAAAATAATAACAGAGCAGCATACAAGACAGAGACAAGGATGCACCCAACAAAACATGCTTGAGGAAGCCAGAGACCCTGGCGGGCAACCGGGGCTTAATCCTGATGGGGAACCAGTGTAGAACATGCCCCTGAGAGCCACCGCTCGGAGGTGAGGGAGCAGAGGTATTTATACTCTAGCTATTACCAGTTACTAATTGATGGCCACTGCCTATTAACTCTGGCTCTTCCTGTGGCTCAGTGGGTTCTGTAGATTCGAGTTCTTCAGGGGCTAGAGCAACGTAGACAAGAGAATGCAGGTGTTAGCACTTGGAAGTCAGCAAGCACAGATGAGGTAAGGGGGTGGAGGTGGGGGGGGGGGTGACCAGCAGAGTCTGTTACACTGCCTGAGTGCATAGAACCATCATTTCCCAGCTGCCTGAGCCAGAGACCTGGGGTTTTCTCGGACAGTTCTCCTCAGGGCATAATCCATATCCAATCCATATTGGGCTCTTATCATTTTACCCTTCATTATCTCTTGAATCCCATGATTTCTCCCCATCTCTATCCCCTGGTCAAGGCCACCCATCACTCTTGCCTGGATACTGTTAAGTCTCCATTAGGGGCTGAACTCTGCAGTCTCTCACCCAGCACCTATTTGCTCAGACCTCTCCCAGCCTCACCCATGTCCCCAGTCATATGTCCCC